AGAACTTCGTATGACCTCTATGACTGTTCTTTTCCCCTTGATAAACTTAGTCTGCAGGAGATAATTCCCAGTTCTGAAGAATTCATGGGTATTTTTTGTTAAATGTAACAGTAACATGAGCTAGTCTTTTAACTTTTCCCAGCTCCAACGGAACAAGATTGGTCCTTCACTGCTTGCTGTTTTACCACTCTCTCTTCTTCTGACATATTCCAAAATCACTGTACTTTTCAATGCAGGGATTTTTCCTTTTCCTCTTTTCCTTCATTTTTTCCCTATTTCGCTTGAGGTAACAGAACTACTCAAGTGCCTTTTTTGCTCTCTAAGCTGGCTCGATGCTCCTACACAAATCATAGTCCCATCTCCCGAGAGGTTCATTATTGTACAGATGGTTTGGGGTTTTATTTTTAACATGAATGCAAGGTTAAGAAGTTGGAGGAGGATGTAAGAAAAAAATAGGGCAATGTAAGCAACAGATCCTGACCTCAATACTGTAATCTCTCGTACTTACAGTTCTGGAATTTGTGTGATCTGGTACCACAAACACAAATAGAATTGGTAGGAATAGGAATAATATTAAGCAAAGAAAATATTTCAGAAAAAGCTCTGGAGATTAGAGTAACAAGCAGCAAGTGGAAATCCACACTGCTGGATTTATCCAAAGTGTTTCTATTTCAGTTTGGAATGATCAGGAGATGGAAGTGAAGTGCATAAATAATCTCATTAGTCAGTTAATTAATGACATTTGATACTAATGAAAAAAGCATTTGGGTGGGAGTCAGGATGTGATAAATGTTCGCATTGGAGCTGGTTTAGGAATATTATTTAAGAAAATAATCAGATGATGCTGAGTATGAAAACATAAAGGCTGTGCAAGGTGCTGCTGATGCCAGCTGGCATCATCCCAGGCAAGGGCTTCTTTGAGTCAAGAAATGGTGATGATTCCTGCAGGTATGTACCTGCATTAGGTTGATAGACTCAGTGAATGCCTTGTAAGAACTGAGCTGCAATTCTTTGTAGGAGCTGGTTTTGCTCTTTCATGAAGATGCATGTGAAGTTACAATGTTTAGGTAAGGTTTCTTTACTGGTGTGAGTGAAAAATGCAGCACTGCTGTGGTGCAGTAATCTTGTGCCTCTGTAGCATGCCAGACTCAAGAAAATGGGAATTTCTGGAAACCAGGAAACAACTTCTGCAGAGATGTTCTGGAATGCTTTCTAATGTGGTTATGTTTCAATATTTTGTGCTGGGAACTTAGCTTAAAGCAAACCATTTGAAATAGAGTTTTATCTTTTCCTGACAAATTTTCTTATCCTCAAACTCATCCAATCTCCTGGGGTTGTAGAACCTGTTTTAACCTTTAATGATACTCTCACTTCTAACAGACAGTAATGGAGAGAACCCAGGTGAGTGCAAAAAGCAGGTCATTAGGAAGGAGTCATAGTCACCATATTTAATGATTGATTCTTTAGCTTTTTGCTGCCTTCCAGCAGTATGTGCCCCTTGTGAGGGTGGCTGAGGCAGCAAGGTACGCATGCATGTCTGGATGGTCTAGCAGTGAGCAGAATTCCTGCTTCCTACAAAGGACAGCAAAGATAAATGCCTGGACTTAGCTCTTGCACCCAAATAGCGCTGCTCCTGGAGAATCTCTGTCCCAAAACTGCCCTGATGATTCTTTAAAGGCCAGTTAGAAGCCAGAGAAATTGTGAAATTTAGTGAAGACTGGTTTTGACATAAATTACATGAAATAAAACCTTTTCCTGGGAAATAGGCTGTTGGGAGGAATTTTATTTACAGTTCTGTGACAGTCCGTGGGAGTGACTGCTTTCTGGAAACAACATATGCAATATCTGGCCGGTTTTTTCACAGCTCCCTTTTAACACTGGACATTGCTGTCGGCAGGGACCTGCCAGATCTTATTCTAAGAGCAGCTTGGCTGAGCTGTTGCACAAAATGAGATACTTCCTAGAGTGAAAAATAAAGGCGGAAGAGAAAAGACAAGGAAGGGAAGTGTTGCTCAAGACTCAGACAAAATGTGGATGTCATCTGCTGCTCGCTTTCTGCCCTGGGCTGGAGCAAAGGTACAACTGCTGGCTGGTCCAGACTGTATTAGAAAGTTTTTAAGCACCATGGGAAATGCCAGTAGAATGGTAGCCAGAATAGTGAAATGTTTAAAAAAACCCCTAATCCATTGTCATCTATCTCCCTGAAGTGCCAAGGCAGAAGAACAGTAGTGGGAGGCTTATCACTTCAGATCTTAGGACTTCCTTCCGGTAGCTTTAGCATCTCTTCTGTTTTCTAAAATCCTTTAGCTTTCCTCACCAGAAAATGAAACTTGTAGGAGCCCAGAAACTTGTGATTATGATTTTTTCAGCCTAAACCACACAGTACTTGTCCTTAAGTGTTGTGTTTCTTTGTTTTCTGATTTTTATGGTCGCAGCGACGCACTGTGTTTTAGTTCCCCCCGCATCACACCCTGCAGCAGGAGCCTGCCTCAGCGGCCGGTGCCCTTTGCGAGACCTTCCCGAGAACAGACTCTACCTAGTTTGGGTGGATTTTTTTCTTATACATCCTGAAAATGAAAGTCTTAAAAGCTTTTCCTCTTCACTCACAGGGTAAACAGCATTGTTTATATTGCATGCGAATTTTAAAACTTGTATAAGCCAGTTTTGCAACTTTCTCTGCTCTTGTGTGTGCAGCCTTCCCTGCTGGAGCTCCTAAAAACCTTTTTCATGTGCCTGGACGACTACGATTTGAAAGACCACCTTTCTTTTCTCTTTTGAAATGACTTTTCCATAGGTTGACAGCATGGTAAATGGAAAATACACCATGTTTGGCAGCACACTAAAAATCCACCCATTAGTGTGCTGCCAAACATGCTACTTTAGTGTGCTGCCACTCAGGCTACTTTAGAATGCTCCCAAGGATTCTAAATTCCAGCACTGCTATTCCTGAAGAGCATAGAGCAAGAATTCCAGATGCTCCAAACTCTGTTAGCCTGTGCTAATGCAGGAAACAAAACATTTCCAGAAGAAATGGAAGAAATGGAAAGAAAATAGATTTTGCTGTGTGGATGGACCCACTGCAAGGTAATGAGTTGGAATAGTGAAAGAATGTGCTTTAAATTATAAGCTGAGCTTATGCAAAGTTGCATAATTGTAATTAGAGATCTCTTCTGCTTAATTAGGTTATTAAACTCCAGTCTGGTCATTTAAGAACTTAGTAGCATTTCTCTACGCTTATCTTGTGAGGTTTAGGTTGGTGTGAGTGAGCAGTATTTTCCCCAGTGCTGGTACAGCACATTATAGCTCACACTTTTAGCATGTTTTGGAGGGAAAGATGAATTCTTAGCATGACCTGTGTTAATATTACAGTAACTCAGCAATGGCTGGTTGAAAGGGGTTTTGATTAAGACTATAGAATTTCTGCAAACTTTGTGGTAAAGTGCTGCCTTTGTTCCTACTTTTCAGTTTTATGCAGAAAGCTGGAGTGAAACATAAAACACTAGAAAAAAAGTAATATTTCCCAGCCTTGTCCCAGTTTTAGCAGCTGTGCATCATTTACAGTTACTTGTGAGAGCTGATGATGAAGTACTTTAATATCTCCTCTGAATGAGACAGGTTTCCCAGCTTCCTGTGTTTCTCTGGATGCATTTTTGATTCCTTGGGAGCTGAGTCAGAAGGGCCCTGTTTAGAGAGGTGCCTTCTTATGTTTGCTTATACAAAGTTCATTGTTTTGTTCTTGTCTGCTCTTGCTAAACCTCCAGCAGTGACTAACGGTGTTGGCATGGTCTTGTGGGACAGTATTCTTCAAGTTTCCTCTTTCCCACTCTCTTTGCTTGCTCTGGAGAAGATTTATTAGTTTCAACACTGACTGGATTAGCCACTGTCACACTGCTAATACCAGTGTCTGGATTCATACTGGCTTTTCTCAGTCACCAAGATATTTTTGATGTGCACCCTTTCATTTCTTTTAAAATCTCGTCTATCTGCTACAATCATCACAAACTGGATAGTTCCTTGGACATAACCATACTCCGTTACTTAATCCTATTGTTCATTTCAGTAGAGATGGGCTACAACTTCCCAAGAACACATCTATGCCAAGTATTTTCACTTAAAAGTTACACAATATCTAGCTGGGCAGATCTTCAAAATGCTTCATGCCTCAAAAGCCAGCTAAGTGAATCAACTGCCTTTCATTTGGAATTCAAGAAATGCTTCGACACACTAGCAAACATTTTGTTTTCCTCTGACACTTCAGGTTCTAGAAAAATGTATTTTTATTTAGGAAAAGTGACTTGTAATCACATTCTTCACTTCATAAAAAATACAGGTTTAGGCAGTCCTGAGGAAAAAAAACAAACAAACCAATCCAGCCTAAATTAGACAACCTTTGCTACCACCACTGTTATCTGTTTGATAATTATCACTGTATTTCTATGGCAATAACTTAGAGACCTGCTCAGGATTTTGTTTTGGCTTGTCACTGAGCCAACAACACTAATTCCTGACTCTACTATAAAATTTGAAGATACCATGGTTGAAAATAAATTTGGAGTAATAGCAAATTAAATATGATCTGCTTGCACACTAAATATATTAATTAAATAAAGAATGTGTATCATGCATGTATATCACACTGAAATTATGTTGTAGAATTACAGGGAAACACATTGTTCTCAAACTTAATTATGCTTATATTTATAAGACAGCCTTCTCTCCTTTTTATTCCTGCCTTCAGGTGATAAATATTTGACAATTTTGTAAGTGCCTGCAGAAGAGCACAGCAGTGGATCTGACTCTTAATTTGTATATTCCTTGATTTCACTCATATAGCCTTCACTTATACTCCAGTTGTTATAGTGCACAACCTTCACAATATAATAATATATATAGTTATATTATTATATGTATATATTATTATTTAATGTATAATATTTTAAGTTACTTTATTCATGATCACTTTGAATATTAGGGTACAAATAAAAAAAAGCTCTCTATAAATTAAATAAATACATTAATAATTGCAATGAGACATAAATATCTGATAGTTCGTATATGAAACATGCATATAATGTTAATGTTGTGGTGTCTCTGTGGTGCTCTGTCTTCCATCAGAACCAGCTCTAGTATTGGATAAGAGTTGTCTCCAAGTATCTGGGGTGCCAACACCTGTCATCAGGACTCCCAGCAGTTCTCATGCACCTCCTGGAAGTATCTCGTGAAGTGCTTCAGGGCTGTCTGTTGGGGCAGGTATCTCATCGGACAGGATATGTTGTTCTCGGGTTGCTATAATAATGATAATTGCAAAAAATAGCAAAAGGTAATAGTCAAAATAATGGAGGAAATAAGAACATATTGCCGAGAAGGTGTTGGTGGTTGTTCAAGGGGGTGTTTAATTAGAAGGAAAGGCAGATCTGCATGAATGAACAGAGAGAAGACATTTGAGTATCAGGAATACTTCCTCCTGGCTGACTTTTCTTACTGAGATGTGGTTTAGGGCTGTTTCTTACTAGTGTTCTGGCTAATGACAAGTCCCAGGATTTGTCTAGAGGTGATGTATCTTTTAGGAAACTAACTTCCATCCAGACTCTATGAATACAAGTAGTTCCTGTAAAACCAATGCTGAGCAGCAGCCATAATGCTCAACACCGCAAAACTAAGGGTATGCAGGGATGGCATTAAAATTTTGCAGTTGACTTTAGTCGGCCAGGATGCTGAGATGATTAATTTCATATTTTGAAAACAAGTGAGTGGTACATTCACATAATTTCGTATTTTTACCTAGGTGTCCATAATCCAGCCAGGGGAGTTGGAACTAGATGAGCTTCAAGGTCCCTTCCAACCCAAACCATTCCATGATTATATGACTATAAATAATTAATGAGAAACTCATACTTACTGTATGTGTTTTCTTTAAGGTTGATGTTATGTGATACATGTTTACCTCCATCAGAGAAATATGGGTTCTTGCTGGAATATTCTTAAAGGAAATTTTCAGTCCTTCTACGGTTCTTTCAAGTTGACAAGGAACATGACTGCACTAAAAAAAAATCAAATAGCAACAAAATTATATTCTGCCAAATTAGTTAATTTTTATATTTCAGTAAATTAAATAATTATTTGCATGCATAGCAGAAACAGAAATTCTGTGCAAATACAGAAAAAGATACTTCTTTCCTATGTTTTCTGGGGTTCAATAAAAAATCTAAAGTGGGAGAGAAAGGAAACACATTTAAAAAATTGTTATAAAGGAAAATAGAGAAAAGAATTGTAAAGGCAGACTAAAACCCACTGGGGTTGCAGTTTTATCAAAACCACACTGAGTAGCCCAAGGATGTTAGATCTGCCAACTCCCTCTCCCAGCTATATCTCCCACGCAGGACAGAAGCACTGTACCCATCTGTCTATCTTCTTTAAAGCTGCAAGCTCTAAACGGTTTTTTTTCCTCTAAAACAACAGGCTAGCTGTTCTTAATATTTCATTAACTTTTTTCCAGTTCACAGAACTTGAGAAATCTCCAGACCACAAATTGAAACCACGGATAAACAGAGTTATGGGCAATAACTTACTTGTGCCAACAAATTGCTTCCTTCAGACACAAACTTCATGGTGCTTTATAACACTCAACTTGTTTGTTTGCCAAAAGGTAAGAATATTTTAGCACCTCAAGCAGTAACCCTATTCACCCACCTTCGGTTCTAAACGACCGCAGGTGATGTTCAGGGTCTGCACCTCAAGCAGTTATGTTGAAAACAGCCTCAGAAATAATCTCTCTTCAAGAACTCCTGAAATTGCCCTGAGCAGGAATACAACCAGTCTCAGAGACCTTGGTCACAGAATTGGTTTTTTATTCCCATAGCTTCACTGAATTTTACAGAACTGCCCATGAAAAATTAGTATACGTATTCCCTTTTAGTGAGATTTGGTCTTTTTTTGGTAGTCTAAGAAAGTCTAAATCTAACCAAGCATTATAATTTTACAAATAATTAACAACAGCAGAATAAAGTTTGAAAGTCTTACCTGAAATTTCCCCTTGGGTACTGGAAGAAAGATCTAAAATTTTTTAAAAGAATATACTGTTAGAAGATATTTCTCCTCTAAGTGACTGCCACATTTGTTAAACATCTCAAACTACATATCATCTTCATCAGGTTTTCTATTTCTGAACTTCCTTTGGGGAAACAATTACAAGCAGTGCCTTGAGCATCTCAACTTTAACAAACAAAACACAGTCATACAAACTAGAGCTGAAAGTAACCCAGACTTCATTTTTTATTTCCATCAAAAGAACTGTAGGAAATGAAGAAAAAGAGATAATGACCCACCTCTTTGTTTGGTAGAGCCACTAGAGCCCTGAGGTTTGCTTGAAATTCTTCCACTGCACCTCCCATTGAGCCAGGTAAGCAGCAACTCACCAAGAAGATACAGAGCAACAGCATTTTGGGTTCAAGGAAAGTTATGTTTGGTTTATGCACCATAGTCTGCCTATATATACCTTGAATATTAGATGAAAGGGAAAGTTTTCTCATATAGGAAAAGGCACAAGACCATAGTGTGAGTTATCATAGGCACTGTGGGATGCCCCACTGGGGACCAGTTGGGGGTTTCCTTCCTTCTGACATCAAGTAAGGGGAAAATACCTTTGTGGATAAGAGATGTCATTTTCTTACATTATATCAAAAACTCATCACAGGAAATAGGAGCATTCCTCCTATAACACAGATCTTTATGTGGTTCTATTCTTACTTTTGCAACACATAATCAGAGAGAGGGAGATCTGAAAAGCCATGTAAGTTTTTACATCCCACTCAGTAATATGCCATCCTTTGTTCAGTGGGATTTTCTGAGATGAACTGCAGTTTGAGACTGAGTAAAAAATACCAGTAACTTCTTAGACAGACCCTAATGCTACTTAACCAGTTTTGATTCTTTACCATTCCTCCCTCACCCTCACTGTTTGGGGAAATTCAGCATAGAACACATGGATCGAAAAGGCATAGATTTAATTGACATCCCAGCAGTGAAAGCATGACAGGTATTATTGACTGGAATTAGCTGTTCTGGCACGAGGTAAAACCTTGTACCTTAACGTAAGTAGAAAAAATCTACCGAAAAAAAATCGAAGTATTTAAAAATGGCTGAAACCTACTTTCAGATGACTGGCAAGGGCTTATGAGAGGGTAACACTCACTCATTAAAAGGTTACCATTTTCCAGCAAAAATTGGACAAAGCATTCAACGATGTGAGAAGAGTTATCTGGTTTTCCGTAGCTATCTGCTTGAGAGGCCCAGAAAAAGACCTTGTACACATCGAATTATCAGTTTCTCAACACATAATTTCATGGCAGATCTGTTTTTGTTCAAAATACTGCTTAACTAAGTTTTTAAATATAGTTTTAAAATTCTTGTCCTAAAATTCCGCAAGAAAAGCATAACTACGAGTTAAACAACCATCTTGAAAAGGTATTTTGATCCTAACTGAAAAAGCTCCTGATAAAGATTTTAATACTAAGCTTAGGAAACATTCTGTTGTGAGGCCAGGGCCAAAGAAACACAAGAGGTTTCACAAGATGAAAATGTTGGGCTCTTAGAAGAGCATATAGAAATAACAGAAGGTATACTTCCATTCCTCTGCAGAAATCAGCATTTGACTTCTCTTATAGTAGATTAGACTGGAAAGGTGAAAGTATGTAACCGCTTTTGTTCTTCTACCTAAGTTCCGAAGAGATTGACAGATTTCTAGAAGGGATGACATGATAATAATGTTGCAGGGAAGAAGTTGTTCCTTCTGCTCCTCAGCCTTTCATGTTCACACTCATATTCATAGATTTATAGACTCTGAAAAGCTGATAACAGTGCTGGTCAAGGTAGAACAATCACAAATGAAGATATAATTCTCACTAAACCATCCCACAGCAGCATAAACATACACATTATTTAGAGAATGGATTTCTTACTGGTGGGAAAATAGTGTGTGAAAGAGAAAACTCTTATCAGAAACAGTGCCAAAAACTGTCTCCTAATCATCAATTTTCGCAGAATATTCCAGAAGTGAGACTGCCTACAGAATCAGGGTATGATCCATGCATCATCTAAAAGCAATGTGGAAACATGTTGCTGTAGAGAAAGCATTGTGCTGCTGAACAACTGAGTCATATCGAGGCAGCTATAGGGCAGGAGGTGACACACAAATGGCGTATAATCTGGTGTCATCTCTCCAGAGGAGTTGTACTGGCTTCTCAAAGAAGGGTGTGAACTTTGGCAATATTTTTCCAGGCAGTTCAGCCAATATGGACACTAATTTCTTCTTGCCTCAAAATCTGAAGTGGCCATAGCACATTTTGTGAACCTTTTTTGCACTCATAAAAGGTAGAATTATCACCAGAGTACAACTGTAGTGAATGCCTGAACTGTTGGCCACAAAACACCTGCTGGATACCAGCTTCTGGTAAGGTCCAGACTTACTTCACCTATCATCTCTGTTACTCATTTTAATTACAGATGATGCTGAGATTGAGCACAAAGGGCTGTTTTCCAAAGTTTGCCTCTGTTACCTAACCATGAACTTCATCTGACACAAGAACTATTGGTGTTTTTTGCCTTCATGGAGAAAATACAGTAAGCACTAAAGTATACTGGCAATTTATCAATCAATTTTGGAATTGGCTGAAAGTGTAGATAAATTAGATTCACCGTGCTGTCAGCTTGTACAGTGAACCTGAGATGTCTTCCAGCTGGCCAGCGGCTGCTGGGTCAAGGTAAGGGTGTGCATGGCACGTACAGCTTGACTCTATGCTTAGTTCTGGAGGGACTCCTGGTCCTCAGGAGTAGGATAGCAAAGCTCCAGAGAAGCAGGAGGAAGGGGCAGTCCTCTGGCTTGGACTTTTTTTCTAACTGGATGATAAATAGAGGGTAGGGAGCAAAGAGGAAGAAGATGTGGAAGAAGACTGGTACAAGGGGGCAAGAAACTCTGTTGGCCCTAAAGAGAAATGAACTTGACTACCCAAAGAGAGTGATCCCCTTTCCTACCTCTGATCATCTGGAACTTTCCTGCAGGCCCTAAAACTGCCTGTCTTGGTTTCAGCTGAGGTGGAGTTAATTTCTTCTCAGTATTTGGTATGGTGCTGTGTTTTGGATTCAGAATGAGAACAATGTTGATAGTATACTGATATTTTGCTTTTTTCTTAGCTGTTGTATCCTAAGTCAAGGATTTTTTTTGGTGTCTCGTGGTCTGCCGATGAGGAAGTACAGAAAAGAAACAGTGAAGGAACACAGCCAGGACAGGTGACCCAAACTGGCCAAAGGCATATTCCACACCATGGAACATTATGCCCAGTTAGATGAACTGGAGGAGTTACTTGGAAAGGGTCTGGCATTGGTGAGCAATTTTATTGGGCATCAGTTATTTTGGGTTTTTTCCCTATTTATTTTCATTATTATTATTACCATTATTGTTGTATTTTACTTTGTTTTCTATTATTAAACTACTCTTATCTCAACCTGCAAGTTTTAGAGTTGATTCTTCTTCCCATTCCACCGAGGTTGGAGGGGAGGAGCCAGTGGCTATGTGGTGCCTCATCACCACAATATAAGACAGACATTAAAGCTATTAGAGAGTGTTCAAAAGAGGACAATGAGGATGAGGAAGGGTCTGGAGAAGAAGCCGTATGAGGAGCGGCTGAGGGTACTTGGTCTATTCAGCCTGGACGAGACTAAGAGGAGATCTTGCAGCAGGGTACAGCGGCAGATACCAATCTCTTTTCTGTGGTGACCAATGATAGGACTTGAGGGAATGGCCTGAAGTTCTGTGAGGGGAGGTTTAGGTTGGGTATCAGGAAAAGGCTCTTCACCCAGAGGGTGGTTGGGCACTGAACAGGCTCCCCAGGGATGTGGTCACAGCATCAAGCCTGACAGCGCTGAAGAGGCATTTCTACAAGGCTCTCGGGCAGTTGGTGCGACTCTTGAGAATGGTGCTGAGCCAGGGCCAGGAATTGGACTCGATGACTCTTGTGGGTCCCTTCCAACTCACTCTGTGATTTCCAGATGGGTTTAAACCACGATACTGCCTCAAAGCTAAAGCATCCCCTTCTGAGCCTTTACAGGACACGGCAGCCCGGACGTGCCGCACGTACCCTAACGGAACTCTGCCGGCCCCGAGCCCCAGGCGGCCTGGGGGGGCGGTGCGAGCGCGGCAGGCGGGGCCACCATGGCCGGGGCGGAGCTTCCGGGGCGCGGGGGCTGCCGGGGCGCAGGACGGCAGCGGCGACGGCGGCGTCTGGAAGTGAGCGCACGGGCGGGGGAAAAGGGGACGGCCGGGCCGGTGGCGTGGTATTGTGGCGGACTCAGCTCGGCTGAATCGGCTGACGCTGGGGCGTCGGGTAGGGGAACGGTTGCCCTAGAGCGTCTCCCTGGAAAACGTCCGCCCCCGGCGTCGCGCGGAGCTCCGGGCGGGAAAGCCCCGCCACCATCTCTGCCCCGCCAGGAAATGCCCTTTCCCCGGCCGAGCTCCCCCAAGGAGCAGCGGGAGGCACGAGCCCGAGCCATCGGCCCCGTGGAGCACCCCCGGAGTACCCATCCATACACACACCACACGGACGTATTTGCAGTGGTTCGAAGTTGCCTCCCCCAGACCCCTCCAGTGCCCGGGGCAGCTTCCACCCGTGCACAGCCCAGTGGTCTGTGCCCGCCCCATGGCGTGGGAAGGCTCGGAATTAGCAGGAATTAGGACAAGGTGGTGCTGGATATGCCTGTGAGAAACAGGCATTGGCAAAGCTTGCATGGTGTTAGGTGTTGCCGTACAACAGTGGGTTATCAAAGGGAAAAATATTGAGGCTTCTCTTGTGTTTGGGGCATTCTGAAAGCACGTGCATAGTGTTTGTGAAGTGGAATAAAGGGTTATTTGGGGGCACTGTGTTTATTTTAATGGTATGGCACTTAGCTTGGGGTTGATTAATTTCTCAGTTTGGAACAAATAAGGTTTTGCTTTCATATGTTTTGTACCTGTGCAGTAACTGAAGAACCTTAGTTGTGTTTGTAAATATATGTATCATATGTTGTCCTTGTTTAGGTGTTTAGTCAGCTTTCAGTAATCTATTGTGATTTCTGCCTACTGGTATTTTTCACAAAACTTTGTTTTACAGGATTTACAGTGTTTACACCTGTGACTTTGGAATATAAGTTGTTCAGCAGAAATGTCGAGGATTGAAAAAATGAGTATCCTCGGAGTGAGGAGTTTTGGGGTAGAAGATAAAGACAAACAAATTATCACTTTCTTTAATCCATTAACTATTCTGGTGGGACCAAATGGTGCAGGAAAAACGGTAATGTTCACTCAATGTTTGGATTTGAACTGTAAATAGGTCTCAAAGGCTTTAACATGTGAATAATAATTTC